ATCACCCGGCGACGTCCTCAACCTTATAAACTATTCCTTAAGCAATGCCTGGATACCACATGACTGGAAAATAGCTAGAGTGATTCCCATATTAAAAAAACAAGGGTCAGGTTTTAACATTGACAACATCAGACCAATCTCTCTAACATCTCACCTGATCAAAATTATAGAGAGAGTTCTCAATAATAGAATAAAAGTTTGGATGGCTGACAAGCTAATATTGAAACCATTTCAAATAGGTTTTCGTAGCGAATGCTCAATTTGGTGTGCTCATGCCGACTTAGAGAGCCGAATACAGCTTGCCCGAAAAAGACGACAATACGCGGTACTAGTAACACTAGACATAGCTAAAGCTTATGATAGCGTTGAGCACTCAATTTTATTGAATTCTTTACACGAATGTGACTTTCCGCGATATATTGTTGATTGGGTAGCAGAGTTTCTAAAATCGAGAGAATTTTATTGTGCAAAGGATGGATGTCACTCATCTAAATTCAAACAGCAACGTGGAGTACCTCAAGGGGCGGTCCTATCTCCGCTGTTATTCAATGTGTTGATGAGCTCAATTCCCATTGAACGAGATATCACTGTCTACATTTATGCAGACGACATTGCTTTTTTCGTTGCAGACAGTGACATTTATTCTTTGCATCAAAAATTGCAAAAGTACATGTATTCTCTTGAAATTTGGCTGCATTCAATTTCATTGTCTCTAAACATCAGTAAAAGTGCGCTCCTGGTGTTCCCTATAGCAGATTCTATTCAAATTTCAGTACTTTATAATCAGGAACCGATTCCACAAGTAGAGTCTATCAAATATTTGGGCATTATTTATAACGAGAAACTTAACTGGAGCCCTCACATAGACTATAACGTGGCAAAGGCACAACGAGCTTCAGGCTTATTGCGAAGGTTGAGCAACAGAAAATATGGGTTACGTAGACACACCTTATTAATGATATATAAAATGTACATGCGCCCAATACTCGAATTTGGGTGTATATTATTTTCGGGTGGCCCTACGTACAAAATTAAACCGTTAGTTCTATTAGAGCGAGAAGTGTTACGGTTGTGTTTGCGACTCCCCAGGTATGTCGCTATTAATGTACTATATCAGGAAGCTCGCATACCTACTATTCTTTGCCGATTCCGTATCTTAACAGTACAAACATACTTGAAATTTTACGGCTTATCAGCGAGACGGTCTGCATATGCCTTTATTAGTGACCCCGACGCCTTCTTCCTCGCTCACTGGCCACGCTTTCGTACTCCCCAGATTATTTTTGTACAAAAGAAACTTGAAAGCATAAAGGTGGATATCAGATCGGTAATTGGAACCAAAGCATTAAATCACAATATTACGATAGAATGTGATGAAATTTTTCCCCCACTATCTAAGTTTCAATCTTCGAGTTACTTAAATGACAGGTTAGAAGACTACATAGCTCATGCGGAAATAAAGAACATAATAGCCACAGACGCTTCTGTGAATAAAGAAAAGGCAGCAGTAGGAATCGTCTCAGATTACCTCGGTTGGTCATTCTCGGTAAGACTACCAGACTTCACTCCGGTTTTCGAAGCTGAGCTCCTGGCTATTATTTTAGCGCTACGAAAACTTCCTTCAAACGAAGAGAGTGCAATGATAATTACTGATTCTCTTTCGCTGTGTACTACTCTCACAGCTTCAGAACAATCAAGAGCTCTAGCGACATTACAAACATTAGTTCCACCTCATGTGAAGTTCCTGAAGTTAGTCTGGGTCCCGGGACACTGTGGCATACGGTTGAATGAAATAGCCGATTCACTATCTCGAGCCACACTTGATGGCCCTGTGATCTCGGTACTACCAGAATCGGAACACATAGTGTCGATCAGATATAGAAAATGGGCTATTTATACGGATATTATGGAAAATATTACTAAATATACGGACTATCAGCACCTAACATACCCCTGGAAACCTCAGTGGAGTCAATCTAAAAAGTTAGAAGTTATTTTAACCAAATTTCGATGTCGTGTCCCTCCATTAAACTTTTACTTGCACAGAGCTGGTCTGGCGATATCCCCCCTGTGTCCATTCTGTGAAGAAACGGAAACAATAGAGCATTACTTTATAACATGTAAAAACTATTCATTAATTAGGAAAAGACTTTTAATTGTTCCGTTTCAAGCAGTAGGTTTAAATTTAACTGCAGATAATGTTCTAAGTTTCGGTGCCTTTAGCTTGGGACATTGCCACAGGAGCGTATTCGATGCTGTATGCAATTTCATTCGAGAATCAAAGCGCATGTCATAATAATGCCTGCTTAAATATATTTCTGAAGACACTTGTCTAATTTTGAATGAAATTTGCATATTCATTTGATTGTGACCGGGTGAGATAAGCTCGATTGTCTGGTCTACTCAAAATTTCTGTCTTCCACTGTAGTATTACCTCACCTTTTCTCTTCTTGATTCAATCTTCAATTATTTGTTTAGTTTAATATTCCTTTTTAGTTAATTATTATTTTCTATTACATCATTAGTTTTTTCATTAAGGATAAACCTTTTAATATATCTCATATAGGATACTTCTAGATTTCATGGCCAATCCCCCATAGTGGGTATGTGCCAGTGCGAAGGGGCAACAACAACAACAACATGAGCCAAGCCACGTCTCCCATTTATCATATACGCAATTAGGTGGCTCGGAGGATAGCCGCCGTGGTAGCTCAACGGCAGAGCATCGAACGCGTTATTCGGAGGTCGCAGGTTTGGATCCTGCCCACGGCAAGTTATCTTTCCACCCACTTTTCTTTCTTCACATTTACCTTAAAATTTGGTCTAATAACCTCCCCTATACTTTTCTTTCCATTGTTGTCTGTTATATTTCATTATTATTTTGTCAAAACACGGAATAACAAGCCCTTAAGTATACACTTCGTTCCGCCAATCAACCCGGTTTTGTGCTCTCTGCTGCCACATTATACCTGCAAACTTTAACCACCTAGTTTTTTGTCTTCTCTTCATGCGTTTGCCTTCTCTGGGAATTCAGACAGCTACCCTTAATGATCAGCGGTTATTTTGCCCACGTGCTACATGCCCGGCCCACGTTCATTTCTTCTTGATTTCAACTATTATATCCTTCACCCGGTTTTTTCGCTGACCCACTCTGCTCTCTTCTTGTCTCTTAAGGTTACACCTATTATTTTCTTTCCCATCGCTTCCTGCGTCGCCCTCAACTTAAGCTGAGCCCTCTTTAGCAAGCTTCCAGGTTTTTACTCCTTAGGTGAGTACCAGCAAGATTGAGCTGTCATATACGTTCTTCTTGAGGGTTAGGAGTAGATTATCATTAATAATTTCAGAATGCTTGCCGAATGTGATGCAACGCATCCTTATTTTTCTAGTTATTTCACTCTCATGGTTCAGCTCCGCGGTCACTACCTATCCTAAGTAGATATATTCCTTTACAAGTTTCAGCGTCTCTTTACCTATCACAAAACGCAAAGTGCTCCACGTATCGCGAATGCAGAGAGGAGCAAAAAAAAAAAAATCAAAGGGAAATGAATAAGGCTGCCCAGCTCCACATTTTCTTCGCGCTTGTCACCGTTCTTATGAAGCTGTTTTGTTGCACACTTGCGCAACAATATCGGTGCGTTCTATGGTTCCACAAACACACACACAAATTCGATAAAAACGGCACGCTTAATTTGGGTAGCATGGCACCTGTAAGCGCTGGTCTAGACAAAATAACAGAAAAAGTGCGTAAAGAACCCTGCGAATTTCTGTAACTGCGCTCGTATACTAAGGAATCAAAAATTTTTCGCGGGATTCGATTCATGAAACAGTGAAACTCGTTAGTTATGCCATTCGATGGATACATAAGTTGTTGCGGAAACCCTTATGCTTGCTCACACAGCTCTTGTTGTGTTACCGTAGGTTTTTTTTTTTGCAACATGCAATTAAATTTCATAGTAATCGTGCAAAGGAAAATGTGCACCAACGCAATATATTTAGGGGTAGAGCAGAAACTGAAGCACCGAGATCACTCGTACAGTTGCAGTAGGAGTTTAAAAATATCTTTTATAAGATTGCTTCGTTACACTACGAACCACGTTCGTATATACTCATCACGTTAAACAATCGCATGCATAAGGTCCAATACTGATTTGCTGTAGCCAAAATTTTACTAATCAAAAGTAGTACTACGCTAACTACTAAACTAAGAAAATGCTGAGCTTTAGCGACTAAACATCTTTAATAAGGTAAACTATATATATACGCTCTATGTAAAGCAGTATGAAGTCGGTTCATTTACCTAATTCCTTGGCTTGGTATCCGCTAGATTTATCATCTAGGAGAAGAAAAAAAAAGATATTTTTATTGTTTTAAAATGCCTACGCTAGTCGAATAAAGAAGTATTCATGTTCGACTTTCCATTTAATTTGGAGATGTCCATTTCAACCCTCACACGCACGTAATATTTCATTGTTCATCAAAATGGCACAGTTTACGTTAGCGCATACTCAAAATATGTTGGAATGTTGTGCGCATTCAAGAGAAAGTAATGCAAATTAAGTTTTGTTACCCCACAAATAGCGCATGAATTGAAGATGCGTAAATATTACACGCCCCTGTTAAGTGTGCAAGCATTGTGCGTATATAAATATGCAAATATGAAAGGAGATATAAATTATGTTTACATTGACCGTTGCCCGTCAGTATATTATGGTGCACATCATAGAAAGTTCATTAAAACCCAACATTGCCGTGATTGTCCTGCAAGCTTTCGTGTGAAATCGAGAAGCCAGTGAGCTTGGATACATTGTTTCATTTTATTTTCAAATAAAAATACGTCTTTTCTCAGAACCTTCGTTTACTGTGTTATATGATGGTCGGAGATTGTTGTAGCTAGCGGGTTGGAACATTGCTTCACTGTTTCGATTCGGTTCATAGGCGTGTTCATATTAGGCCCACTTGTTCATTCTGTTTATACCCTAACGTTCTGTTGATTCACTGACCTGCCCTAAATGTGTTGTTCCATAGTCTGCGTGCTAGTGTTCTGCCGTCTCGTGGATCTCCACCATCTGCCAGTGTTTCATTGAGAGACCAGGCATACATAAGGACGCTGTCGTAGAAAGCCGCCACAACAGGATTGATCTGAAATATGAGAGTGTGGGGTTAGCAATATTCAATGAATTAGTGACTGAAGCAACTAAATATGATACCTTAAGCCTTAGCAGTGCTGAAAAATTGAAACCAAAGAGACCTTTGCAAAGTAAGTATTCTTTTCTTAAATTTAGAACTTGGAGAAATATTGTCCTTGTATCAGCGTTTAGGAAGTGTGACATTTCAATCGTGATGCACCAGTATATTGCTACTGCATCCCCAAGGTTTACCATCGTAGAGTGCGACTGTGCTGACTATCCGCTAACCACTTCACTGAGGGTGGTAGTCTCTATACGAAAATCTTCGCAGTAAAATTTTTTGCTGTATTATAACTACGAAAGCCAACTTTTTAGCAGTTTCTTTAAGAAATGCAAACACAAAAATCTCGCATAACGAGAAAAGTGAAGTATGTAAGCTTTTGCACAAATTTTATTCTGCAGTTCAGTATAGCTCAGTTTTTCAGCTTTCCGAGCTCAGAGCAAACGTTGAGCTTCCATGGATACTGAGGGTACGGTACGATTTGAAAATTGTACCGCCTGGTGCAGGACAGTGCTTTCGGTAAGCTATGTTGGGCCAGTTGATGCATCGTTACTAGAGGTACGATGAGCTTAAAACCGCAAATAACAAAGAAGAAATAGAAACAGTGCGAACTCCCAAATGAGTTTATTTTCTTGAAGCATTCGAAATATGGATGCTCTTGCGGGACATGCGCAGAACAATTTCTCTTAGTGCGCGTGCAGGGAAGAACAGACAAGGCATCAAACTCAGGTCACAACCACAGTGTCTGAGAAACAGGAAAAGTAGATAAATCCTGAAGTACAAAAGCTTGATGAAAAAAGAGCCCACACCTGCGCTTCGTTCAAACCCCGACGAGCGTGTACGTGAAAAATAAACTATAACAATTTAAAAAATGACGTGCACTCCATAGCAAGGACAGCTAAGAAACATCTAGATACAACAGTTGGTGTTCACTATTGTGCAACAAAGCTGAGCACATGCCGACGCGAGAATTCCCTTTCTTTCTGATGTGAAACGCTTTCAGCTCTCTTTTTCAGCTAAGAATCGAACAGGGTCTCATTTGCTCTTTCACTGTGCTTCGTGTGGCTGTAAAGCGCAGTTCGATTACACGCGACTACTTGGAAGGAGATGAGATACGCTGGCTCAACAAGTTCTGGAGACATTTGCCTATTCTTGATCGCTATTGCCTGGCTAGGCCATATGCCTGGCTAGGTCATTGCCTCCCTGATCTCTATTTAGATAATGGCATAGATATGCTACTGGTAACGATGTTTGAAATACACGAAATAAATTGTATATAAGCGATACCCTTTGGATACCTTTATGTTATATGTTATAACGTGCGCGTCATTAATTAGCACTTCACCACCTAATTTTGTTGACAGAAAGGTTTAGCTGACATTAATTTTGTTGGCAGAAATGTTCAAGCTGATAACAAGGTTTACTAATTGTTAAAAGACAGCCTCGCCGCGGTAGTCTAGTGGCTAAGATACCAGGGTGCTGACCAGCAGGTCGCGGGATCGAATCCCGGGGTCGGCGGCTGCATTTCCGATGGAGGCGGAAATGTTGTAGGCCCATGTGCTCAAATTTGGGTACACGTTAAAAAGCCTCAGGTGGTCGAAATTTCAGGAGCTCTCTACTACGGCGTTCTTCATAATTATATGGTGGTTTCGGGACGTTAAACTCTACATACTAATCAATTGTTAAGAGACAGCGATGACACTTGAACGAAAGTAGCATGAAAATCTACAGTCCGCAACATATTAACCTCAAAGATACTCATGATGCCATGATGCATTTATGAAGGATGAAATTACTTACATCATGGTCGTAGATCAAGGAGTTGTAGTTATCTCTCGCATACTTGATCAGCAAGGCCACAAAATTTCGGTACTCCACACTTGTAGGAACGCGCACTCGGATCACTAGAAGCGACTGATACATTAGTTTTGCCACCTGAGAAAAAGAAAGAAAAGAAGGCAAAACAGAATTTTTGTTATGCTTTACCATTCACATCGGAAGAAAACTGACACATCCGGCTGGGCAGTGGCGGTACGACGTAGGGACACGCATTTATCAGCAACGTGCATGAGAATATTTTTTAAAGCAACTGTGATCTATTTATGCTTTCAAATGAAGAGTCTGAGAACTTCATGTAGAACTCGAGAACTTCACGTGGCTGACAGTCCGTGCTGTTGCCATTGCTCCACTTTTATTTCAAGTCAAGTTTCTGAATACATCTAATAAATATAAAAAAAGAGCACGAAGGAAGTTTCGGCGGAGAAAAGGTGCTATACGTTATCTGCAGTACTTGGAACCATGCGTCAGCGTCACTATAGTAAGGGAGCGAGCTGCAGACGGGATTCACAGCTACACAACTCCTGCCTCAAGCAGAAAGAAAGACTACATTTCCAAAAGAGAACGCTAGTCTGAAAGCAAAGTTGGCCGTGCATTGGAGGTTTAGAAGTTGTTATCTTAATAAAAAAATTATTCTAGCATGGACTTGCGAGACTACGTATACGAAGCTTGGTGCGCGCCCGCCTAGTCTACAAACTTAGCACGTGCGCGTCTGGCCTACAACTGGTCAACCCGTACATGTAGGCAATCGATCGCGACCTCCAAAGTAATGGAGTGAAAGATTTGACCTGTGCGTTGTTGAAAAATAAAACATCGCAGCGTGCGCGTTAACTAAAAGTGGACTGTCGTTCTCCGTGTCAAATCGGAGCCTACTGTCTCTCACTGTCCGTTGATTGGCAGTGATCGACATGTTCAAGTAGAAAGTACCGGTCCATCACTGCGTGCTTTGCGCCTTCACAGGTTTCTCCCATGTGCAACGCCGCGATGAGCGCTAGCGTCAAATCTGCCACGAGTGTAAGCGTTAGCACCCGCTACTTCACGTCTACACATAGCTCCCTTTTGCGGGAGATGGGGTGCTTTTCTCTAGAATCACTGCGTCGTCTGCACGGATATGGTGCTCAAACCATTCGCAGAGTTATGCTATAGTGGGCTCCACCGGGATCGTGGTCGCGGGTTCGAATCCCGGCTGCGGCGGCTGCATTTCTGATGGAGGCGGATATGATGTAGACCCTTGTGCTCAGATTTGGGTGCACGTTAAAGAACCCCGGGTGGTGCAAATTTCCCGAGCCCTCCACTATGGCGTCTCTCATAATCATATAGTCGTTTTGGAACGTAAAACCCCACCTATCAATCAATCAATCAATCAATCAATCAATCTAGTGCGCTCTGTTGGCTGTTAAATTGTGAGGGCTTGCAACGAGTCACGGTGGGCCTCTCACGTACGGCAAGCAACCGTATATTAGCATCGCATATCTCGGGCTTTTTCACCACTGAACGAAAAGGTGAACCGATTTCGTAACGTTGGGTGATTAATAGTATATTTTTGGCTGCAGTTTTCTCAATACTTCACTCAGAAATACACATTGAGATCCGCCAAAGGCACCAAGGGTGCCAAGGCATCTTTCGACGAAGATAGTGCCTAGTGGAACCACAACTGAGCCGTTGCAGACGATTTATTTCTGTTTATACAACCTAAATTGAGCAATGTGTTTCTGACCGTAAGCTACGGCCCTAAATAGTTGATTTGGCTCAAGAAAAAAAAACTAAAAACAGTATACTAGAAGTGAACCGAGCCGAAAGGGAAACGATTTTAGGGACAGGAAGTCAAATAACGTCACTTATTGAATGACTGCAAGTGGCAGGAGTTTGGGACGAGTGAGTTCGATATGTGAATGTTCTTCACATTTAGGTGTGAGCTCTTTCCATGGACATCATCAACATTCGTGGTCAGCGAAACAAAGAGAGGTTCGGAAAATTTCACGTTAGTATACGGTACCTCCATTTGATCGCCGACGTTCATTGGCACTTCCGTGGTGCGCACGTGCAAAGAACAACAACAATCTACGAAAAAAAAATTGGTTGAATCTTCTTTTATACATCTACGAGACACATGAGTAGCACTCTCTTTACAGATTCACAGTGATTCTAGTTTGAAAAGTCATGTGTCCTACCACAGGAGAGTGTCAATGTGACCCTCTAAAGAAAGTGCTTTGGAGGTGTCCTTCATACGTATGAATGAAGCGCCAAAGTTAAAGCGAAGTGTCAAGTAAGCCGAGTGGTCTTCAAGAAACGTGCGAGCTCACCCGGTTCATCCTGTCGTTCTGCTTGAACCAGCCCAGACCGTTCTGCTCACTCTGGCTTTCGATGAGATTCACGTTGATGAATACGAATTCTCCGTTGCCCATTCCAAGACTGTAAGCGAGTATCAGGACCCTTCTGACGACGTCTCCGCTGCACAAGATGATGAACACTGCGTGGAATAAAAAAAATAAATATTGATGCGACGCCAATCCTTGCCTTTGGTGTATGTTAGTGACCCACATATGGGCATTCGTTTGTCATGAGGGATTCTTGGGTTTAACTAAGTGTTTCGTCGCACTGCCGAGACTGATATATGAGGCCACGTATAAACAAGCTCCCGTTCGAGGTCTTCGCGAGTGGTTGTTGATCTTGGCAGCTCAGAATATTCCAATGAACTCAATCAATCAGGTAATAAATTACCTGTACGTCACCACACAGGCAAAAATGGATCAGGCGTTTTAGAGTTTCCTCTAAAACGCAACAAAACACACTTGACCTAAACCATGATACCTAAGGAAATGCAAAATTCATCTCACCTAAATAGCCAAATGAACAGAACGTAAACATCGTAAGACGAGTGCCACATAACGACAAACCATACGCAGTTGGTTTCGTTCAGTAGTGGTGCAGCTCTTTTTTTTTTCAAATATGTTTGGTCTAGTTACGGGAAATACACATAGAATAGCAGACACATAACGCATGGGCAGGAGAAAATAAATGTATACAAAACCACGTACTAAGCTCAGTGTTTCTCATAAATATTTGCGTCGACAATTGAAGCATTTGAATTTTATGCTCGATAGAAATTCTGACGAAGGAAATTGAGTTGGTGAAGAAAATCTAGAGGATCGTACATAAGCGCTAAGCTTTCGCCTACTTGCGTGTTATGCATATGCATGCTGTTGGGGTTAAAACATTTTTGTAGTTGTTGAGGAGGAGGACAAAGAATTATTTATTTGACGAAACGGTATCGTGATGCAAGACCCGCACCTATACACTATAGGTAGGAGGCCTCCTCATACCAGGAAACCTCTGAACTTCGCTACCTTCTTGGCCCTATAGCGATGAGAGACATCGTTGCTGGTCTGGGTGTTCTGAAGCGAGCTTGGCCTCCTACGTTTCGGGGAGGTGTTCGTTTGCTTGATCGGCGTCACAGCTGATCGGCGATAGCGATGTGTCTGTGTGTGATCGCATGGGCACGCGAGGATCATATTGCCAAGGTATCAGGTACGCTGAAAATTGGCCAGAAATATTCGTGCAATGTTGTATACAGCCCGAAGTGCGTGTAAGTATAATGTGTGTGTAGGTGTTGCTCTGAAGTCTTCTCAGTAGGATGCTGTCCTCTTGGTTGAATTTCAAATGTTGTGGTAGGTGCTTTCTGCGTTCCAGCCTATAATGTTGTAGTATTGCAGAGTACGTCCTGGGTACGGACTCATGGTCCGCAAACGCAGTGCTGGTGTCTCGAGAGAGGAAAGCTATAACCCGGTAGGCGTGATCACGGGCCACGGCAAATGTTACCTCGTTTCCCTCCACTCATGGTGCGCAGCAACCCATGTGATACAGGCGTACGGCATCTGAGTGTGTCGGCACTTCAGTAGCTTGAGTGCTTTGGCAGACTTTGGTCTTTGGAGTAGCTTCTCATGGCTTTTTTTTTTTCGAACTTCGCTCACTTATGTTGCATAGCAACCATCATTGTTCAGCCAATGCAGACATGTAACCACTGTACTAAGGGATCATTATTTTTCATCAGAATCACGAAATAACTTTTGAACACAGCATGCGAATCATTACAAATATATACAGTTAAACCTTCCTGATACTATCACGACACACACGAATGGCGGGGTGATAGGATCTTTAGGAGCTTGCTCACCAATCTTCTTATGCGCAGAGAATGTCGCTTGGCGTGCGACATTCTCTCAAGGCGAGCACGAGCGCTTTTGGCATACTTCCTTCCTCTTGAGGTTTTCGTGTTGTTGCGCATAAGCTTTGTGAAGTCCTGATGGCAGATCGCATCTACTAATTATGAACACCTTGGAAGTGAAGGCAGCGGAGCCCAGAGTACGCAACGTGGCTGCGATGCAGGCCCGCTGCAAGAACACGCGGTGAGAGCTCGTGAGCCTCAACCAAGACGGCAGCGTTGGCAACAATCGAAATCCAGCTAAAACATTGATGCAAAGGCAGCGGCAGCGGTGAGGGTTCGCGAAGCCGAAGCAAAGTGGGCTCGTCGAACAGCGGATTCCCAAGTAAGAACCCTCGAAGCAGAGACGATACGCAAGCGGCGGCAAGGGAACCTTGAATCAGAGAGGGTGCGGGAAGCAGTGGTCAAGGGCCGAAAGCGGTTGCTACCCGAGGTTGGTGGCACCGACGCGTTCTTCAAGCGCGACTTCCTCGATTGCTCGTTAGACCATGGCTGTAGGGTATACGATCACTTGTGCTTTGGCAACATCCTCGCCACCATCGCCTCCATCCGCAGCGACCAGTTTCACACCAACGCCATCGCCGGGCTCGCTCCAATAAGATTTTCATATCGTGCAGTGCCTGCGGCGAAATATGCCTGACGCCACCACCTACGACATACACCTCAGGCGCCGGCTCTTTAACAAGCCATCTACAAAATGGGCCTCATCAAGAAGATTTACGAATTCTCCCAATCAGTTCCGAACAAGCTCCTCTATCAATGTTCACTGCGTAGAGAAGGCGTATTTTTTTTGGTCCCAATCGAGGCCTAAGTGAACTGAAGGAAGGTTGTTCCGAACCGATTTCCTCTCTGCGATGTTTGATAGGAACGCATGCTAACGCGCGTATATGGACAGGTAATACCGGCGCTGTCGCAGAAGATGTCACAAGGGGGTAGACGCGACGTCACGCTCTACCTTTTTTTTCTCTTTTTATTTCGCTAGCTGTAAAAAGCTCGTTTCGCAGAAATCTCGGCGTCAGTGTCGGTGTCAGCGTCATTGCTTGTTAGGGAGAAATCATCTTGTCCTTGACCAACAAATTGAAAAAAAAATGCAAATAAAATAAATTTCGGGTCCACGCCAGGATTAAACCAGTGTTGTTTGCGTGGAAAGCAGGCGTTCCACCACACAGCCACGCGTCTGCTTGGAAATACGGGGAAAATAACTTTGTCTGCTTGGGAATGCAGTGAAAATAACTTTAATGCTTTACAGACACACGCATTCTTTATGCAGGCTTCAGAATAAACACGTAATATTGCAGTCATATTACGTGGTATATTACGTGATCGAGTGTCTGAATATGTAATTATCATAACGACTTCGTGGCTTAAAGCCACGGCCACCCATTACAAAAGCCGGCCACCCATTACAAAAGGCACACACTTTACGGTGCGAACTCACATAAGACCAGGTGGCGGGTGCATAGCATGTTCGAAAACAATGCATGTGCGTTATTCCTTGTGGTTGAAAGCATATGCCACCTATTACACAAGCGTGCAGCCATATGCGAAAGCTTTACTGACACAGGCCACTTTAAACTACATGGATTACATTAGTGATCCACATCTTAAATTCCTCGAGTAACATCATACAATTAATGTATGCGCTATGAGGTTGAGGTATACGCTTTAGGAACAGTTTATCGATGTCGCGTTCAACTCTTAAAGGCGAAGCCCTTAATATTTTTATCGTCGACCAGTGTTGTGCAATGGACGTCCTTATTCGATTGCAATCACGTTGCGGGGAATTAAAACTTGCCGTGATTACATTCCTTTAAATTCGTGGGATTGAGCGCATTCCACTCCGAGTGAGCCGGACAGTTCAGTTTCATTCATGTGATTCGTCAACGAAGGAAAAACACCTTGAGGGTTTTAGCGAGTTGAAAATGAATGACCCATACAGCTTATGTCATCAGATGCTTTAGCGACACTACCGGAAACTCGTTACGAAGGTTGAGAGATTGCAGCTTGCTGACATGCCTCATGCAGTATTGAACCACTCTACTGATTCCCATTGGGGCCATTCTCCTACTACTTTTATTTATTTATTTATTTATTTATTTATTTATTTATTTATTTATTTATTTATTTATTTATTTATTTTACTCCCAGGACCAAATAATATGACAGTAGGGGTAGGTTATCACAAAAAAAGTAGTTACTGAACAGAAGTGAAAATGGTTAGATCATACAAATAAATGTCTTATAAAAAGAATGTTAGCTAATATATTCATATAGTAATATATGCTAGTTTATACAACACAGAACCTAATTATACAATGTTACCTTATGCAGCAACAACAAAATAACCTTATTTAACAATGTTAGCTAATGCATCCCAGAACAAGTTGTTATCACTAATAGCAACAATGTCACCGGAAATTCTGTTCCACTTCTTTGATGTACGGGCCAAAAATTAATTGAAGAAAGAATTTGCATTGCATGAAGGGATGCGTACTTCGTGATGCTGATCAATGCGGTGGGTGAAGTGGTAGCTGGTCATGCAGGAATAGATGATGATAAAGAAAGTTTTCATGGTTGAAATGCTGGAGGTCCTGTTATAATTAAATAACATAAAACGAACAAAATTATTCTGGACAAGTTCAAGAGAAGTTACCATAATATTATAGGCGTCGTCCTTCACGGCTGTGGCATATTCTGGTTTAGAGAGTATTAGTGTTTTATAAAGCTGCAATTTTAATCCATGTGGAGCGTTAAAAAGTTACGTCGCAGACAGCCAAGCATGTGGTTAGCATTGACAATAATGCATGCAATATGAGGTGACCAGTTGACACTAGTTCTTACGTGAACTTCAAGGCACTTTCAACAATTAGGAGAATCCGGAGGAGTTTTATTGAGATAGTAAAGAGGTGAAATTGTAGAAGTTATCAATGCAAGCATGGTTTAGCACTTTCTAATGTTTACGCCAATTAGCCATTTTCCCCGCCAGTTAGATTTATCGTTGAGGACAAACTGCAATATGTTATTGTCATTATCGTTAGTAATTTTTCGAAAAGTAGCGTGGTCGCCAGCAAAGAGGTGAGTGTTAGATGATACTACTAACGAGAGGTAATTAATATAAATGAGAAACAACAGGGGGCTAAAGACAGACCCTTGTGGTACGCCGGTATGCACTTTGCGAAAAAA